ATTAAGAGTACTAATCAAATAACTGACAATAATAATCATTATAAAATAATTAAACAATATAAACTATAAACACCTTATTAATTATTATGAGTAAAAATTATCATAAATTAAGTAAATAAGTGAGATTAGGGACACCTCACTAAATAAATACACATAAAATATAACATAAACAAATGAACATAATAGCATATAAAATTTTAAAAGATAAAGTTCTCCTCCCTCTTACCTTAAGAGAAGTAAAATTGCTACATTTTCACTTTCTACGTTTGCTCTCGTCCAATTTTTTATTTAGCAAATTATCTTTTGTGTACGTGTAGATTTTTTATTATTAGAGGTTTTGAATAAAAATTTATTTAATTACTATTAAAAATATATATAGAGACACAACATAACTTGAACATGTGACCTATATCTTATGATTTCTATGCATTATAGAACAAGTCACTGAACCATTCTATTTTATTTATACATTATAATAAGTTATTATGTAATTATAATAATAAAATATTATAATATAATTGGATATCATATATATATATATATAGTTTAAAAATAAATTTTTTTATAAAAATAAAACACTAGTATTAATCTATTTATTTTTAAATATAATAACTAAAATTTAAAAATCTTAAAAAATAAGATAATAATAATAAAATTGTGAATAAATATTATATGATTCTATTTTATTAATTAGATCATAATAATTATAAAATTAGGAATAAATATTACATAATTCTATTTTATTTTACTAAAAGTTTTATAATAAAAATTTAATGTATTATAATTATATAAAATATTATACTTATTCTCTATTATATATATATATATATATTATATAATAACTAAAAATTTAGACTACTATTTTAATTAAGAAGAGTAAAATAATAATAAAATTGATAATATTGTATCTGAAATTTAAAGCATTACATGAATCTTGAGGAAACAATGTAATATATTATTTTAATAGAGTCACCATTAATATTTTATTTTAAATAAAAAATATTTTTTTAAATTTGGAGTAGGTTCTTGAGTGAAACACATGTAAGAGATATATTTAGGGTGAAAAATGAATCATATTATGCATAAATTATTCATACTCAATTCATCAATTACTCATTCAAGCACATTCATTTCATTAAATAAATAAATCCAATTTTGAGATCAGACTTGATTATTTAAATGGAGTGAGCCTAAACTTTAAAAACTCAACTTTAAAAGTTAAGTGGGGTTTGATCCTTGCCTTGAACATGAGTCAGAGGTATAATAGGAAGATAGAGAAAGAAGCTACACTAGGTTAAATATAAGAAAGATATTTCTCATTTCATACCATTCACAATACAACCAAGTCTCAATAAAGCATGGAAAAGAGCTAAACATCTAATACTACACATGTACAGTGTGCAAATTATTGAATGAAAAATACAACAAGCATTTTAGTAAGCAAATGGGCCCAATAGTCTTGGAACATAATCTGCTGGCCACTTTGGGGGTTGAGTTTTACATTTCAACCTCACACTTGGGATTGGCCTTGTAACAAGGTATGGCTTTACCTTTATAGAGGTTAACCTGGTAGGAAGGAGTTATACCTCCTTATTTATTAAACAAAAAAAAATTAACATTAAAGTCACATGAATAGCTTGTTCACACACATATGGTATTTCTATTATGGAAGTTTTCTTTTTCATTTAATAATGTTGTGAATTTGTTATGTATAATTTTAATTTTATTGATTTCATGTATCTTTGCACTAAACTTTAACACATATTGTGTCAGGTTTGATATTTTAGTTAATTTAATTTTATCTTTCCTAAATAAAAAAAATAGTTTTTTTCCTTAAATGAATTCTTAAATTAATTTTGAAGTTTTTTTTTTCTTGTAATAACCAATAATTTTTTATTTTTTATTTACTAAATTATGAAAATGTAATAATTTAAAATATTTTAATTCCTGCTATCACAATTAAGCACATTTTCTCTACTAGTCAATAATTATTTAATATTAAGAAAATTATTAAATACTGTATCGATAAAGTTTAAAAATAATTTATGAAAATTTTAATAAAAGCATAAATAATTAAGTTGAAAATAAGCTAAATAAATCAAACTTAAGCTTAAACTTTTTAAAACAAGTTCAAGCTTTCAATTATACTCAATTAAATAAATGAACCAAATTTAAATAATCAATTTTTCTCACAAGTGAGTCAATTTTTGTTAAAAATCTTACATTTTTGACAAATATAAATTTGTCGGAAATATTTCATCAGTAATATAACTTTTCCTACGAATTTTATTTCATCAGAAATATTTCACAGATCTCTCCTAAATTTTAGGAGTTTTTTATCCTTTTTTTTATACTTGACTTTTTCTATATTTTTTTTAGATTAATTAATATTTGTTGAAAAATATAAAATTTAGCGGGTCTCACATCCTATTTGATAACTCTCGCTTCTATTTTGTAGTTTTTAATAAATTATAACCAATAAGAGTGTGTGTTAAGAAAAATGTACTAAAGAGTGTTGCTAGCTTTTCTCTTTCTAAAATAGCTCTTAGACTGTCTCATAAAGATTGTATATATTTGTATTCAATTTGTTAACGAATAAAGCATGCATTTCTTTCCAAACACTTTAGTGTTCTCATGGTATCACAAGCTTTTAGTTTGTAAAAATTTGTGAAAACTTGTGAGCCTCGTTATCATTTGGCATAATGTTTGAATCAACCCAATCTTCATCCATCTCGGATATCAATTATTCACTATAGATCACCTAACACAAATCGAATCAATCAAACTTTCGTGAATGATTTCAATATGTTTTGTTAGTCATTTAAAGGAAAGGAAAAGTAGAATAACTAATTGGCAAGATTCTTGCCTTAAAACTAAGTGATGCATGGTACAAGGCATAGAAATACGAAAACTTAATTGTTATGGTGTGGTTAATCAATTCAATGGAGTGTCTCATAGGGAAAACTTATATATGTTTTAACAAAATGCCCATGAAATTTGGAAGGTTGTTCAAGAGATGTACTTCAATCTTGAGAACACATCTTACTGTTTTAAATTTTGTTTCATTATAAGAAACATAAGACAAGGATCGATGATCATAACAGAGTACTAAAATTAGTTGATTGATTTGTGGCACAAGATGAATACATTATACATTTCATGGAAGTGTGTTGAGGATGAAATTTTATATAATCAAATGTTTGAGAAAGATCACATATCCAACTTTCTTCAAAGACTCAATAAAGTCTTGGATAAAGTATGAGGACGCATCCTTTGGATGAATATAGTTCCTTCTCTTTGTAAAGTGTTCTCTGAGGTGTGAGGAAAAGAGAGTGAGAAGAAAGTCATGTTGAATGAATTTGGATATGTCTTTCTAGAAGAACAATCTCAAAGATCAATACTTACGTCTACACAATCTCAACCACAAAGGCCAATAGAGCACTGCCTATGGTGTGAACATTAAAAGAAATCATTTCACACCAAATAAACTTGTTAGGATATCCATGAAAAATCTCAGGATTGAAAGTCACAAAGTCAAAGGAAAAACAACCTTACAACCCATGTAGATGAATTTGCTGACACTACAATCGTACAACTTAAGATAAGCCTAATATTACAACTTTTACTTAAGAGTAAATGGGAAACTGAAGTTCCTCTTTCAACAACAACAAATATCAAAGGCATTAGACAATTCATCTAAAGTAGCAATTGCCCAACAAGGTAATATCACATAATTTTTCACTCTCATAGAATGAAAACCAAAATGTTTGGATCGTTGACACTATACAATATGTCGATATTAGATACAACCTTATTGAATTATGAAAAATGTAACGATGAAATAAAGATTTATATAACAAATGGTGATACAATAAATGTGAGAGATGTTCTTTGGCAAGGATTATATTTAAAATCAATCATTTACGTTCCTAATTTAAGATATAGTATTATTTTTATTAAAAAGTTATCAAAGGATCAAAATTGTAAAGTGACTTTTTTTTCTTTCTCGTACATTTTAGGATTTGTCTTTAAAGAAGACAATTGAAAATTAAAATACAACATAATCACTTAAGTTATTATCCAAAATAAAATAAGGTTAATAATATCATAAATTATTTAAGCATTCAACCTTAGTCAATCTACCGATTTGACATATCTACATTATGTATTATATTTCTATAAAACAATTTTTAATTCATGAAAATGTATAGTTAAATTAATGTTAAGGCAAACTTTTAGTTCCTTATTTCAATTTTTTTAGTTTAAATTAAAGTGTTTTTGTTCTAAATTTGAAATTTTCGCTTTATTTCCTTAAAGTGCTTTTATTAAATCAAATTAGTTCTTCAAATGACACTTTAACTAACAAACTTTAAGAAATCTAAGTGTATAGTGTTAAAAAAAGAATTAAACTGAAATTTTTTTAACTTAAAGAACTAAATTGAAACCACAAATTAAAATTGGGTACTTAAATTCTAAATGAGCCTTAAATTAATTAAAATAACTATAAACATTGCATACAGATTCAATTGATTAATATTTTTGACCATTTAAGTATTATGATTTCATCAGCGGATATCACTCTTAAAAAAAATGTTAATTTATGATCATAAATATTTTATTTAACCCGTAAATGAAAGATTAAGTACACCATTTTTAAGAAGTAAAGATAACCAAAGTGTACAAAAAACTCAAATAAAAAAAATGAAACTAAAATTTTGGATTTAAATCATTAATCGTCTTCACTGCCACTTTCTTGTCATCATATAAGAATGTATTGAAAAATACTCAACTAAAATTAACCTTAATACAATTTGTGCAGTGTTGATTCTGCAAGTCCTCTGCTTAGGCCTTTACAAAGTTGATTTTAAAATAATATAAATTGTGAAGTCAAGACACAGGTTATCACACTAGTAACAACTTTAAATGAGAGTTTTTAAAAATTATTCTTTAAGGAAATCATCATTAGTGGTGTTGGCAACCCACACACAAATCACACAATATAACCAAATTCTATGTTGAAGAACTTCGGCAGAAATTGACCAAAAGCTGAATACAAGGAGCTCGGATTCGAATAAAAAACACATAACTTCTAAATTCCCTCAATTACTCATTAAATACAATCAAGCCAGATGAGACACATGCTTCTAATCTAAGTAAAAAAAGAAAGAAAAAAAAACCAAAAAAATCAAAGTAAAAAATAGCTCAAAGTATAATTGCTTGTGTCATATGATGATTGATGAATTACTACGGACGTTGAGTGGCACAAAGGGATTGAGCAGAAGCCCTATCCACTCAAGCAGATTCAGATATATACAATAGGAACCACAATCATATAATGCGAAGTATTTGCTTCTGTGGAAGAACCGATGCACATTACTTCCCAATTCCCAGTGACTTCACCTATTCGGCTAAATGATCATACGGCACCAGATCCGGTGCCAAATGTAGTTGAATCTTTTTGGCAGAAGTAACATTCACATAAAATGAAGTCAGCTACTTTTAATCTTATAAAATTAACTCAAATTGACAAGGGACCAAACAATATTTCCCTGAATCAATGGAACTTATTCATAATACCGGACCAAAAGCACAACACAGAAGCTTCAAAAGCCTTGAAAATTGAGTTGCATACAAGGCAAGAAACTCTGAGAAGAAAGCTTCAGAGAGTATCACGAGCAGTACAGGACTTGATCATTCTGTTAGACCAGAATAGTCTCGGAACTATCACCTGAAGCATTAAGGCCACTTTCATCAAGATCCATTTCATTTGAAGCAACTCCTGGGTTCAAATGTAAATCCTTATCATTCTCACATCCAATTTCCCCATTGGCATCAGATCCTACTTGCAAATAACTGTCCTTCGCATGATTGAGAGCAGAAATGGAGACATCTACATTTTCATTATTCCCCTTTGTAACATTCTCTCCTGATAATTTCCCTGAAGGAATAATTTCAAGAGCGTCATTCATATGAACCACTTTAGAAGGCGTAGTATTGTCTGCCATTTGAGAATCCAACACTGGATTCATGTCAAGTTCCGATGAATCACAATTCATAGCAGTGGATGAGTGAAATTTCTTGTCAAGGTTTTCTGCTGAACATGGATCTGAACAAGCAGTTTCCTGAACCGAAGTTTGAGCTTTCAGAACATCTAATGGGTGACTACTCAAACAAGTGTCATTCAGAGAAATGGATTGACTTTTGGAAGGATTTAATTTATCAGCAGGAGAAGCAGTCACTAATTCATTCTTCATTTGTAGTGCACTGTGACTAGTTCTAGAAGGAGAAACACATTTATCTGAGACTGACTCAGACACCATTTCATCAGAAGGAGATTTGGAACAGAGAGTGCCATCGACCAAAACATGGTTGTTTAGTTCTTGAGAAGCATCGCTGCATTCATCATTTGACTCATTAGCAGGATTTGAACTAACATCATCACTTCCATGAGGATCTTGCGGAGTTGAACCCATATCTGACCTATTTCCCATTTTGGTCTCAATAAAATAATTGTCTCCATTTTCCATTTTCTCAGAACCTGTCACGAAAAGAGAAAAGGTACAATTTACATACAAGCAAAAGTAACTTCCTGAAATTTAAATAAACAAAAACAGCATCAACACCTGTGGTTGTATTGCCCTCATGTTTTCCTTGTTCCACTAGCAACTTTTGTAACATATCTATACCAGGGAAGGCCATCATATTCAGTGACTTCATTTCTTGCCTGAGTGAACCATCTAGATACGTGAAGCCAAAAGCTGTTGTCCATGTATGTGTGAGTTCAGCAATTGCAGGAATAACTAGCTTTTCAACCTTCAGAGAGCAAAGTGCCTTTTGATCGAGGAGGAAGAAATAAGATAAGAACATGTCAATGTCATTAAAAGATGCATGCAAAAAGGCCCCAACCAAAATTCTAAGTAGATCTTAGGTGCAATGGAATCACAAAGAACCATAGCTTCAAGGTTTACCGATTCAATGGCAGAAAAAAGCCGGCGGCACATCCCCTGGCGCCTATATATGTGACGAGTTCCAATGAATGGCATCTCTGCTATCATAGTTCCATGGAACCTAAGACAGGAAAGGAAATACTTAGATAAATACTCCCATTTATTCACATTATCAAGAAATGTACAAAGCAGCATATAAATTGAGAGAGAGAGAGAGAGACAATGAGAGCAAGAAAATAATCATGGCCTTTTACAATCCATTTAAGCTAAATCAGTAAAACGGAATGTTAATTTCAAGAAAGTTAGGAACCAGAGCAAAAGGCTATCCAATGTCACTAATGTTCCTCATTACAAGTAATATGGGATTAGAGCAATGCCAAACTTACGAAGCCTTTCACTGCGCTATTGCCAACTTGGTAATTTCTAACTCATTTTAACATAGTAGTGTATGGAAAGGAGAAACTCTCTTTAAAGTAGTCAGAATAGTGTGTGACAGATGTTAACAAATTCAACATACTAGTCATAAGCAGCTCTCTCTAAAGCAATTGAAGCATGACTGATATATATTTAACATAATTAAGAATTACATTCCCTTCAAATGATTTAAAAAAAAATTCTCAATAACTACAATTTGTTTGTTTTTCTTGTTAAGTTTCAGTTATTTCCTTAGTTCCCCTAACTTCTCTAAGTAATACTGGTAAGTGGGTGAACCTTCAAATCCAAATGCAACCAAAACACCTTTCACTTTCCCAACTTCTACTGTTTCTGCATTTTTCCCCTTTAAAAGAGAAGGTCAGAGTCTAAGAGATCCAGTAAATAAGTCAGCAAGGCAAAGTCAGAGGCCTACCTGATAGATGCTGCAGCTATGATTTCATCTCCTCTCTCCAAAATCGCAGTGTAAAAGCCACTATAACTCAAACGACTAAAGTTTGATCTGAAAATGAATAGAAAGCCAAAAATAAAAGAGAAAAACTGTAAAGGCTAGAAAATTTCCATTCCAAGAAAACATCAAAATGCAGAAAGAGGATAATTTGGTTTGTGAATGTAATGTACTTTGAGCACAATGCCACAGTAAATGATGGACCCTTCTATATGTACTTTCAAATTTTGAAGTAACTCAAACAAACCAGTAACCAAAATGATACTTATAAACTAAATGCTTAATTGTATTTTATGGTCCTTTTAGTTTGGACCTTGCGTGATTTTAGTCCCCCACAATTTTTTAAGCGAATTATCTCTATTTTAAAATTTAGCAAATTTAGTCCCTCCTCGCATGTCAATTTTCTTATACCTGACACGAAAAAATTCTCACTTTTTTACTCGATCTTTATAAATTGCTCAGAAAGTGGGGTGATACCCCGAATGACTATGGTCGCTTGGAATCTTTTTTCTGCTTTTTCCAGTTTTGGTCTTCTGCTAAAAATTCACCAGCGAAAACATCAAATTTCACCCAAAAATAAAGTAAATAAAAATTTCACCTCTTCAAAACCCTAATTTCATGTCATTTAAAATCTTTCAATTTTTCTCTAATTTCCACTAAATATTTTACTTCTAAACTTGATTATTTCCTATTTCAACTCTATCATAACCCAGAACATTAGGAATTAAAAAATGGTTGTGTAGAAGGAAATCAACAAGGGGGTCAAATTTACTAATTTTATAAATAAAAAAGACTTGATTAGCATAAAAAAAACATGGGGGACCAACATCGCACATAGTACAAATTAGAGGGGCCAAAAGTGCAAGTGAGCAAGTGCAAATAAGCCTAAATTAATCATTTCCTTTTCTACCAACTTAAATTATCGAACAGACAACATATGTACCAAGTCAGATAGCATTAAAAGGCAAAACAACAAAAAGGAAGACAGTTATCAATTTACAATTTTACAATCGCTGAAAACTATAATCAGACATTGGCATTCATCTAGATGAGAGGTCTCATGAATCAACTTATAGGGTATTATATTTAATTCATAAAGATTGGACTTGTGCTTACCCACTATTATATAAAACATTACGGATTAAATTTATCCCACTCCTCCGATCAATAACAGGCAAAAAGCATTCATCCATCACGGTCAGTGCAATAGCCAGCTTGGAATTGCATTCTACCCTCTGTGTAATTCCCCTGCAAGCTGCCTCTGAGTCTTCATCTGTTCTATGAACAAGAGACCATGAAAATCCCCCTTCTAGTTCATGCTCCTGACACGAAAAAATTCTCACTTTTTTACTCGATCTTTATAAATTGCTCAGAAAGTGGGGTGATACCCCGAATGACTATGGTCGCTTGGAATCTTTTTTCTGCTTTTTTGTAAAATAGAAATAGCTAAATAAATACATATACATTTAAGTTATGCTTCATAAAATTGAAAAAAGCAGAAGAAACTGTAAGAGGTACCTCTTTGCATTCTTTCCCACAAAAAGAAAGGCTTGATGTATTGAAGTTATTAGGAAGGGTATCCATCTCCTTAGTGCAAGAGTCATGATCTATGCAAACAGAAATTATTTATTAAACAAAGTAAAAAATAAAAATAAAAAGGGAAAGTATGGATAAACAAGATTAAGTGAATACATTTCTTCTCGCATAAGTTGCAAGTACGTAGGACATACACAGATGCATCATCTTTTTCAGAAGTACCACGGGCTATGCCACAAAATTTACATGTGCAATTTGGACAATGCCATTCACCGGGAGGAAGCATCTGCAACAACATAAATGAATTCTTCATAAAGAAAACCATCCTCCTAAAATAATTTACGTTGCTAAAATAAGGTACAGTAAATTGCAACAAGTCACTAACACTTCCATCAAAGTCAATAATAGATTATTCTAGTTTTGTGTACAGGAACCATGGACTCTACTCCTATGAGAAGACCCAATCAACATGCCTTCTAGATATCAAAGAAGATAGAGTCATAAGTTAAATAATTGACAGTATGCACAACTTTTAGCCATAAAAACTACTCAGGGTTGGCCCAACATATTCTAGGGCATAAAGCAAAATTTGAGGCCTTTATAAAATTAATCAAAGTAATAGGAAAAATGAGTCCTCATAAAAAAATAAAATAGTTTTTCTCTACCAATGTTCAACCTCTATTTATCAAGAAAAAAACATATTATTTATTATTAGACTAAATAAACTCTTAGTAAAAGTTGTACAAAATACTATATAAATTTTTTTGGGTGCCTAAAGCAAGGACTTGCCTGGCTTTATGTTTGGGCTGGCCCTGAAACTATTATAGTAAAGGTAATTCATCCTTTGACTGCTTTTTTTGACAATGAACAAACTCTACAATATCAGTTTTCAGTAGACACAAGTTTTGTCTAGGGATACCATTTTCAACATCCCCCAACATTTGGCAAAATCATAATAACAAGAAAGTGTATTCTGTCCCTTGACTTCATAACAACAAACTCCCAACAAAGAGATATTACTGCCCTCTTCCACCACCCTTAACAAAAAATCAGGTAAACCAAACAGCATGCAAAAGAGAAACATAAATTTAAGATTCTAATGGTCAATAAGAGACAATTCAAAGCAATATACAGAACAAAATATGTACTAACAATATGTTGAGAACTGAGAATAATAACAAGCCATATGGAGAATAAAATATGCACACATACCTGTATATCCAAGCAGCTCTGATGAAATGTTGATGGAGTGTGTTATACCGTGTGTAGTGACCAGCCGGGTCGTTACAAAACCCAAGCTTTAAGAGCTTGATTTAACTTGATTCTTTTACATCCTATATATATATATTAATATTCTACAATATTTGCCATAAATTTTTTTTGTTATGCAAAATAAAATATATTAAAAGAGAGTACAAGGGGTACTCCAACTCATAAATAGTTACAAAAAATAACCAAAACTAGATAGACAAATCTAGTTTCTTAAATAACAGGTATAACTAAGAAAACCAGACCAAAAGTAATTAGCGAAGACCAATATTTTCCATAAATTGTGTCTTTAATTATTTGCGCAAAAATCATGTAACTTTATAAAGTAATATTTATTTTATTCAAATAATATATATATATATATATATATATATATATATATATCCTACTTTAGATGTTATTATTATTTTATTATTTTTAAAAATAAGTAGATATTTGATTATCTTTGATTATTTTTAAATAAATAGACTTTTTAAATTAAAATTTGAAAATGATATCTTTTGAAAGGATTTTTATCTTTATGATAAAAAAAAAAACTTGAAAAGAAGTGATTGTTCATGAAAGAGGAAAATAATTTAAGCCGACCAAAACCTCTTTCCGTAAAATAAGTACTTCTAATTCCATGTACCGTATCTAACTTGACTAGGCATAAGAGAATTTTATAATAACTCAAAAATTCGATAATTTATTCCTAGACATATTTAAATTCTAAAGTGGTGAATGTATTAATCAGTTTGCTGGTGCATTATATACGACGAGCCAATTGAGTTTTGGAAATTTATTTATGAGACCCGGATAAAATGTTGAGTGCACTTCATAATTGTTTTATAATATTCTTTGAGGTTAAGGATAGTATGTTGCCTCTAAAATGATCCATTCTAAGTTTACAATTGTATTAAATATTCAAATAGAGAATTTTATCACATAATATTCATACCCAACTTGAATAGAATTATTTATAATGAAAAATACCTATAATTCATATACCAAACAATATTGTTTCTCTTCTATTTCTTTTTAGTTTTGGAATGAAAAAGCATTTTAATTGCGACATGTTTCAAAATAATAATGCGGCAATTGGTTTGACATAACTTATCTTGCAATTAATTGGTTTCATGGGGTTTACTTGTTAACATTCAGTTCTTGATCCGTTCCTGTTCAATTTTGTTGATCTATGGAACCAATCACCATACCGATTTCTAGTTCAACAAGTCAAAGTTATCGCTCTGGTTTAATTTCCAAGTTTCTCATCCATACCAAATCTGCATATTTGTTGAAATTAATAGAATAGTGGTAAAGAAATCAAAAGTTGCATGTTACTCGTTAAACATTTGAACGCAAAATCCGTTTCAATATTGACTTGTTTGTTAAATTAAGTAAATTTATGCAACAAGCTTTATTATCATTCCAAAAATGTTCTTAATTTTATATTCGTATTTGATGTGTGCTATCATATTGACATAGTCAAATTTAATTATCCTTATCGGTAAGTTGTGTTTTAGGCTTATTTTTTACTTTTAAATGGAGAAGTCTAAACTTACAATTAAACGTTAATTCCCTTTATAAGAAAAGTAGTATATGCGGTAAGGGTTGAAAATGTTCCTATCAAACCATTAATATATATATATATATATATATAAACTTGTTAATTTGGTGCAAATACGAAGAAAGATAATTCAATGCCTTAGAACATCACTGAATTCCCAATAGCATCTATCGTCCAACTAATACTAGGATATATATATATATATAAGTGAGAACATCTGTTAATTAAAATATGAGAATAACTAATAATTTTTAGGTCAAAATAAATTACTTAAATTAAAATATGTTATCACGTATTGTTATTATTTTAGTTCTTTTCATCATTATTATTTTCATCCTCGTTACTACAACAGCTATCACAACCTCTTCCACCGCATTGTTATTACTTCATCATCATCATTGTTGCCATAACCACAGTTGTTTTCCCTTTCACCACCACCATCATCATCGTTACCATCATTGTCATTATCGTCATCATTGCCACTATTGTCACCACCACCATCATAACAACCACTACCATCGTTGTTTACCACCATCATCGTTGTCACTACTGTCATCACCTCTACCACTATCATCGTCATCACCAATATCATCACCACTTCTACCATCGTCTTTGCTTTTGCTAGCATATCATTGTTGTCATTATCGCCACTGCCATTGTTGTAACATCCCAAATTTTTTACAATAGTTAATTATTATTTCTATATTTATGAAAATTATTTTCTTATAGTTATTAATTAATAAAAAGGGTTTTTATAAAACATTTTAGAGATTTTAATAATTGATTATTATTTATTTTTAATATTTATGGGAATTATTAAAGGGATTTTATAATTAAAAGTAATAAAAATATTATTTTGGTATTTTGAAGGCTCAGAACAGGCCGTTCCCAGAAGTGGAACGGGCCGTTCCAAATTTCTAAAGAGACTTATTTTTTTTTTTGCACAGAACGGGCCATTCCAAATTAGTAAAGCGGCCTATTTTTGGTAGTCTAGAACGGGCCGTTCCCAAATTGGAACGGGCAGTTCCAAGCTACTAAAAGTGCCTAAAGACCTAGTTGAGAATGGGGCATTCCAATTATGGTTGTTGTGAGTAAATATCAATCCTAGAACGGGGCGTTCTGGTCTTGAGAACGAGCCGTTCTAGTTATAAATTTTGCACATCACGAAATGGGTCTAGAACGGGCCGTTCCGGATTCAGAACGGGTCGTTCTGGCCACTCCATACTTTATAAATAGGAGGGAGGGGCTTTGAAAAATTATAACAGCCTGAAGTGAAAACATAGAGAGAGAAAGAGAGAGAGAGAAAGAAGAAAGAGAGAAAAAATGAGTAGGAAAAGGATCTTGAAGATTTTTCGCAGATAAGTCGATGTTTTGAGATAGGGGGAGGATAACGTTATCTCTTTTAAAATTTTAATGCTATTTTGTTTATTTACTTATGTTATTTTTTATTTGTACCTGTTTAGTGAGGTGTCCCTAACCTCATTTATTTGTTTAACTTATGATATTTATTTTTATCTATAATAATTAATAAGGTGTTCATATTTTATGTGTTTAATTATTTAATAATGATTATCATTTTCATTTATATGATTGGGATTCTTAATATATTATTTTTACGTAAATATTATTTAAATTTATTTAATGTAAATATATTTTATTATCAACTATAATATAATTATGATATCTTGGACTCGTCTTGTTATTTTTTCATGTATTTATGAAGATAAATATTATTTTATGGCCATAGAAGATAAAGTTTGAATTATTTCTAGCTGGAGGTTTGACCTTGGGGATTTAAATGAGTAAGGGATGAAGGTGAAATATCATCTTGTTAGTTAAGATGAAATATCCTTTTGTTGGTTGATATTATGATGATGCTCATTTATCCTGACTAGTCACTACAATTATAATTCAAATTTTATTGTAACATAAAAATTTAATATATCATGTATATATATATATATATATATATATATTTAGATATATATATATATATATATATATATCTAATATTGATTATAAATAATTCTGTACATTCTTTTGAATTATTATATTTATTGGATATTTTTCTCACTCCTCACTTTTCTTTATTTTTAAAATTAAATATATTACAAAATAGATGAATATACCTACGATTCCTGAACATTTACAATTTTTATTACTACTGTCTTCCTTGAATGGAATTGAGATGTGGATGCTGTTTCCAACTCTGTTACGTTTTGAAGATATATGATTACATTCATATATTTTTCTTTCTGCCAACCATACTAGTCAAATTGTAAATTTATTTTCAATATTAATGTAATTATTGTAATAGAGGTGGAAGAAATGAAAAATGTGTAAAATAGTACATATTTGTAAATATTTTTAGAACGATATGTCATGTAATAAGTTCACAAAATTTTCTTTGTCCTTATAAAAAATATTAATGATATAATTGTGATAATAACATATAAGAAAAATATATTTATTTTTATATAAATCGGGCGTTACAATTGTTGCTATCATCACCGTTGTCATTATAGTTATCAGCAACAATGGTAGTGACAATAATAATAATAATAACAATAATGATAGTGGTGTTAGTATTGGTAGCGCCAATCATTGTGGGGGTGGTAGTGATGTGGAAGGTGAAGATGATAAAGTTAACAATAAATATAGAAAAAAATTACGATAATAATAGTATTTTAATCTAAACCATTTATTTTAACATAAGAATTGTTATTAGTTGTTCTCAAGTTCTCATATTAGTAAATGTTCTCACTTGAGTCATTCCCTTTATATAGAGAAGAACTCTGTTTAGTTTAGGAGTAAATCTACATAGAGTTATTTTATTTGATAACTCATGTTCTATATCAAATTTTAACGATCCAATTGTGAATTTAAAGTTCTTAATACATAGACTAGATATGCAAATTTTTTAAAAATTTAAAAACCATTTAATACTTCGTTATATTGATTCAAATTGACGAATAATCATAAAGACATTTTATACATTGATTTGAATTAATTAAACAAAGTATCAAATAGTTTTTAAATTTTTTTTAAAAATTTGTATATTTAATTTATATATTAAAAACTCTTAAGTTAATAATTTGATCGTTGAAATTTGATATAAAACATGAGTTATTAAACAAAGTAAATCTACTAAAACTTATTTTTAAGCCAATGAATCAGTCTTCATATATATTCTATTATCATGCAGACATTGCATTGAGTCCATTTAAAAGAACAAGGTCAAGTACAATGTTTCCTCAAAGAATGGTGGAGCTGAGTGGACTTAGAAGCATTTGCATTCAGTCCCAGATGAATCACGTTTTGCAAAGGGAAGTTCATAAATTAGACTTTGGCATTGCCAAGAAAAAGCACAGAGTGCACGTAGATCAGCAAGAGAATGAAGAAAGAGACGGCACGTAAGGAAAAGACAATGGCGA